CATTAATTTGAACCTCCAACCTTTCAGCTGGCAGCTGAGTGTGCTAACTGCATACACCACTCACAGAGTCTTGGCAAATATGCTGTTGTTATGTACCATCAAGTTAGAACTGACCCTCCAGCAGGTTTTCAGGGACTCTAAATCGCACAGGAGGAGACTGACCATCCTTTTCCTGCAGAGCTGCTGGTGGATTCAAACCACCTGCCTTTGGGTTTGCAACACAACTCCTTACCACTAAGCTACCAGAAATATGAGGCAAGCTATATTTGAGTGGGAGTTCCTTCCATAAGAAGCAACTGTGCTGCCTCTTGTGACTCCCACTGGAGTTTCTGAGGTTGGGAGGATTTAGCTGAATGGGACTGTGTCAGGGTCTCTCCACCAGGGGCCGAATATGCTGTGTCGTAAATCAGAGAAGACTGAGGGAACAGAGTCCAGAGACTCTGTGAGGGGAGTATAGCCAGTGACAGCAGACCACACTCAATGCAGAAGCTGTGAGCTGAGACACAGACAATTTTCATGTGGAAACACTGTGTTGGGTCTGAGGAAACCACAGGAACAGGATGAACCTGTGAAAGCGTTCCTCTCCCTTACTGCTACATCGGGTGCTTCAGCTGGAGGCAGCATGTCAGGGCATCTTCCCACAGAAATCATTAGGAATTCAGCTCCTTAGATGCCAACCATCAAAATGACAAGAGCACACCAACCCTCAGTTGTCTACTGGCTGGCTGGCTTTAGTTCCTGTTAGATCTGTGTGCCGATTAGCATGAGGTCAGGTCTGTTTCCTTTCTCTTCTCTCTTGGGTTCTGGATGAGCTGGTAATATTCACAAGGAAAATTACCAGGAAGGTAGGAAAGTGAAGGGGTGAAACAGATGAGTTGGGTGGGGAGGTAATCCTGCATAAGGAATAATTTGACTGTTTGGTAGGTGAGAAAAGCTGAAACGCAAAGCAGCAAAAGGATGCATCTCACAGGTGGTCTCGGTCAGTCACAGTGCGAGAGCAGAGGCCAGCCTCCTGGTTCGGGTCTGCTTCTCGTTGCCACACCTCCCTGCCTTCCTGGTAATGCCAATGAGAGGTTTTATGAGGGCAGTCAGCCCCGTCCTTTTCTTCTTAATAGGACTTACGCCTGGGGCCTTTAAGCCATCTGCTGTGTAAAACCCATCCTTTCTTCCACCACTTCCCTCATCAAATTTGTGATTTTGCTAATGAAGCTGAACCATTTTCACATTTCTCAGTTTTCCTGTGGGTGGACGTGTTGACGCTTTCTAACCAGCTGAGAAGAGGTAGGCTGTTATTTCAAGTCAGGAGAGACAGACAGGGAGGGACGCGCTCGGCCCTGAGAACCTACATGAACTCCAGAAATGGTATAAGTTCTCTCTCAGCCCTCCTCCTCTTCTCTCTGCTCCTGCACCAGTGACAGGAACAGTGTGGAGCGCTCTGGTGGGGATGATGTCAGCCGATTTCTGATAGGCTACCCAGAAAGGGATCCTTCATTGGCTGCTCAGGACCTTGCACTTTGTTTCTACCCTTGGAATCCAAGCCGCCCTTGAAGACCTGTCCCTCCCACATGTTGGCAGAAGTCCTTCACAGCATGCAGCCCCAGAGCACAGACTACCCTGGTAGGCCTGCGAACACGCTTGACAAATATTCTACCTTCTAATTTGCACCTCGGCTGACGGAAGAGATGAGTAGTCTGGCTGCGGGAAAGAGGCTGCCTCAGGAAAGCAATTTCTCTATCATTTAGCTGCTCATTTTTCCATGCATCAAGTAAGGACAGAAAACACTCTTCTTCTGAGCTGCCAGGCAGATCTGAGATCTGAGGGGATCTGTGAGGGTTGGTAGCTGAAGAGCAATCACCAGTTAAGAGTGATTCTCCTTTTTGTTTTTTTAGGAGTGATTTTCCTTTGCCTTCAGCTTTAAAGAGATACTGTTAAGTAACTTGTTGCATTTCAGATATCTAAAACTCAAACTTTCTATGCCTATCTCTTTTTATAAGACCATTTCAAATAAAAGTACCAAAATATTTAATAAGGAACGTCCAACATGAATATTGTGCTTCCTTAAAGAACTATCTGGAGGAGCTCTGGTGGCCTAGTGGTAAGAAGCTATGCTGCCAACCCAAAGGCACACAGTTCAAATCCACTAGCTGCTCTGTGGGAGAAAGATGGGCAATCTCCTCCTTTGTGATTTATTGTCTCTGAAAAGCTGCTGGAGGGTCAGCTATGGGTTGGTTGCAACTTAATGGTACTCAACAACAACAACAGTATGGGATCAAATTCACAGCATCAGCTTGCAAGCTTAGGGAGCTGGGCGTTGATGAGCAGGAATAACTCAGATGTGGAGGATCTGATGATATGATGATACAACTTAAGGCATGTACTATCTATGTAAAATCCACTAAGTTGGTGTATGTTCTGTGCATATTTTCAACAACCAAAAAAATGAATTGCCCTCAAGTTGGAACTGACTGATAGCTAACTCTCTAAGTGGATTTTCTAAGGCTGTAAATCACATGGGATGAGACTGTCCATCTTTTTCCCAAAGAGCTGCTGGTGGATTTGAACTGCCTGAGAGGCAAAGCCCCTGGGTTAGCAGCACAACTCCCTATGGACTCTGTTATCAGAGCTTTTTTTCTGTTGTTTGTGTTTGGTTGTTTTTTTTTTTAAGTATCAAGAAAATAGAATACAAACTCAGACTAAACAGTTTTCATTTACTTTTCATTCTTGCTTATTTTCCACACTCCACTGGAAGTCTGTTAAAAGCCAATGTTGCTACAGGCAACTCATTTTCGGTGTGGTAGTGTTGGTGAAGGAGTTCTGGTGGTGTGACCGGTGATGTGCTGGACTGTTAACTGACAGGCTGATGGAGGGTGGAGGGAAAGTGCAGGAAAGGAACACCTCCGATGAGATGGATTGCTACAGTAACTGAGGTAATGAAAGCAGGTACCTCAGAGTCAGTGAGACTGGCTCAGGACAGGGCAGGCTTCACAGCTACTGTACATAGGGTCACTATGAGTCACTGGGGACTCAATGGCACACAACAACAACATATATATAAATATATATACACATATATATTCTCTATATATCACATATATTAAAAATAGATAACATTTATATATAAAGGGGGAGAAAGAGAGAGACATACACACACGGACAGAGAGAGGGATAAGGCAGGCAGAGAGAGCATGTGCATGAGAGCTCAGGTTGGCCTAGTGGATTAGGAGTTGTGCTACCTACCCAAAGGTGTGTGGTTTGAATCCATCAGCTGCTCCATGGAAGAAAGATGGGCAATCTCCTCTTTGGATTTACTGCCTCTGAAGATCCACTAGAGGGTCTATTATGAGTTGATTTTGACTCAAAGGCACATAACAGCAACAAATACATACACTCACAACAACTCAAATCCTTAAGCTGCTTGTCTTCTCCCTGCATATTGTGTTATTTTCTTTGTTCCAAACATCAACCATAACTATTTTTCAACCCAAACAACCTAAAGGAGGCTCTGCTGTCACATCCAAGTGTTTCAAACTTCTCTACAGAATATCCTAGATGAATAGTGTTTTACAGCCAGGGGATTTTTGGTGTTTAGGGTCACACACTTTTTAATCCATGCAACCTGGGAAGCGAGATCAATGTTTCACAGAAATATTGCTAAGAGCCTTCACCTTGATTCCAACAATTAGTGACCTACATGGCAGGAGAGAACCTCCAGGTAGGGTTTACTCAGCTGGAATCTTCACAGGAGTAGAGGGCCAGATCTTTTCCCACTGGAGTTTCTGGGTAGGTTGGATCTGTTAAGTTCTGCTTAGCCGCTGAATGCTTAGTCATTGTGCCACCAGGACTCCCTTCATAAAAATGGTGGATGGGATACAATTACGTGATATAAGGGACTATGAAAAGGAGCTGGAAAAATCCCATGGAAACAGCCGGGGTTAATCATACTTGGGTAGTTTATGTTGTTACTGTTATGCATTGTTCAACTTGGAACAACTTACAGCTGACCCTGGAGGAGGTTTTCAGAGGCAATCAAGCACATGGGAGGAGACTGCTCACTTTTCTCTTGCACAGCAGTTGGTGGATTTGAATTGTGTGCCTTTGGGTTAGAAGTGTAACTCCTTACCACTAAACCACCAGCACTCCCTTGGGGAGTTTCTGAATGTTACAAATATTACCATCCTGATAACTAAGAGGCTGAAAGTTTGAGTCTGCTCAGAGGGGCCTTGGAAGTAAGGCCTGGATAAGAAGCCACTGAAAATCCTACGAAGCACAGTTCTACTCTGAGATGCATGGGGCTGCTGTGAGTTGGAAGTGATTTGAGGCTGGGCTAATTGCATTTTAAGATCCTAATACATTTGGGCTTCACCGATAATACTTGGGATTCCTGTTTAGCACAAGCCCAAGAAGTCAGCTGGGACAGCGCTGGCCTCTTGGATGTAGGAGGGGGATGTGGAAGTGTGAACAAAGAACATTATCAATGCATTCTGTCTTGTGCTGGAACAGGGCAGACTATTTTCTGGAAAGGCCTGGAGACGTTGTGGTTCCTCCTTTGAAGTGCAGAACATAAGGCTGGCTCTGAGGGAGGATTTTCTCAGCCATCCCAAGGACATAAACTAGCATGCTCCAGGTACACAGAATGGATTAGAGGCACTGAATGCCTTGGAGCAATGAGCTTAACTTCTCACAGAAAATGGTCAGGATGAATCAAAGATCTGAGTATAAAGTGAATCTTTAATATTCCCCACGGGTAGTACAAATGTACCTGGTTGCTAAATGAGAAGGCTGGAGGTTCAAGTTCACCCAAAGGCACTCTGGAAACTTTGCCACTGAAAACCTGATGGAATGCATTTTTACCCTGATATGCATGAGGCTGGCCTGAGCTGGAGTCAATCTGATGGTACCTGTTTAATTCTCTGCATTGCAGGTTAGAGTGACATGCTGGGAAATGATGGAGGCAGTGTAGTGGAGAGGCTGCCGACCTGCAGGTCCTGAGCCAACATTACCTGTGCTCGGTGTTCCCCGACAGCAAACTGTATCACTGCGACGCCCGGGCTGTGGCTGTCCTCGATCCGCTCCACCGTGCTGGAGTCAATCTTCAGCTCGTTGCTGATTTCGGCGCTCTGGATGAAGTCTTCCGTTTTCAAGTCCTCCACCTTCTTCAGTTCCCCATTGGCCAGTTGGATGATGGAGCCTTTCATGAAATAGGGGGGCAGTGTCGGGGGCGCAGCCGAGGGTGACGTCACTGACTGCACCACGGGCAGGTGGATCTGGGCCTGCACCATGGCTGGGTAGGCAGCTGGTGCAGCCAGGGCCTCGGGGCTGAAGTTCTCGCTCTTCGGAATGGCGGTGGTGACGAAGGTGTGAGGCACTGCAGCGAACTGGGGTGACGATGTGACGATGGCGGGGGCTGCCCCCGAAGCGTCCATGTCCGTGCTGCCCACAGGGATGAGCAGAGGCTGGGTGCCGGGGATCACCAGGTGCTGGGGCAGGCTGCTGGCGTAGGTGATTGCCTGCTGCTGGCCGCTCAGGTAGCCGATGACTGGGGGCTGGGTCCCTGCATAGAAGGCCGTGGCCGGCAGCCCCACGGGGAGTGGCTCGGAGGCGTTGTGCGATGTCTGAATGACCGTGTGGGGGGACAGTGTGGCGACAGCGGCCTTCACGCCATCAGGTCCCAGCGCTTGCTGCGGGGACAGTGCGTAAGACCTGTGGCCGGCCTTCCCTAAGTGCAGGCCGCTCTTGTCATTGAGGGCGGAAGGGGATGCCTCCCGGTGGGTGACCGGCTGCACCTCCAGGTCAGAGGCGGGCGCAGTGCTGTTGGGCAGGACCATCACAGAGGCCCGCACCCCAGCAGCATCTCGGGTGCTGTAGTCAGCAGGGCTGGGGTGGACCACCATGTGCCTGGATTCGTAGTGGTGGGCTGCTGCTTTGCTGCCTGCCTTCACCAGGCCCAGGTCTGCTGAGGAGGGGACCCCGTACCTCCGGCTCTTCTCCATCTCCCCATTGAGGATCTCCTTGGCCTGCAGGGCCTGCTGCAGCCGGCTGCTCTCGGCCTTCTTGGTGGACTCACGAGGAACAAAGTGGCTGCTGGAGTCCGAGTATTGCACGACCACCTGGGAGGAGGGCCCCAGCGTGAGCGTGTGTGGGATCATCGTTGGGTGGGGGTGCAGGTGGACAGGGAGGGCCGGCGGGGAGGCCGTGCGCCCCGAGCTCTGTGGGGAGCTGGAAATGTGGACGTACTGGTTTTGCTGGGTGGGTGGTGGGGACCCTGCGCTCATGAGCCCCGGAGTCCTGCTCAAGTGCTGCTGCTGGGGCTCAACCTTGTGTCCCGAGGCCTGGCTCAGGCTGCCCATGTTGGCCAGCAGTGTCGAATAGGCCTCCAGTTGGGAGCGCTGGGACGGAGTGGTGGCCATGGCAGCCGAGGCCACGGCACTGGTGGCGGGGTTGGCCGTCGGTGAGATCAGCTGTGAGGGGATGAAGCCGGCATAGGGCCCACTGTACTGGGAGGACCCGATGAACTGGAAAGTGTGGGGCAGGTGGGCATACTGCACAGGGGACACTGGGGTCCCCGACGGCGGGGGTGGATACACTGTGGGGAGCGTGGTGGTCACTGGGACTGACCGGGGGGCACTGGGCGGGGAGTAGTCCAGCCCCGTGGACAAGGATTTGTGTAAACCTATTCCCTGCTGTAAACCAAGCTCCACTGAGGTGCCCGCTGGTCCGTGCCTGCTGCCCACATGGCTCTGGCCCCCAGGATGGCTGGAGAGCCATGCCAGGCCCTCTGCCCTGTGGTTGTCGTTGGGCAGAGCCGGGGCCTTCTCCTCGGATGGTCGGCTGGGCGCGGGGATTTCTCGTTTCTTGGGAGGCAGGCATTCGTTGCTCCGTTCTTGGTTGGATTTCATTTTTCGCCGTCCCCCCTCCACGGTGACCGTTTCACTGTGTGGCTGGCTCTGGTTTTAGTCTGATAAACGGAAAGTCACATTTGATTTCTGAAGGGGATCCAGGCTCTTCATGAGGAATCATCTCCCCGTGGGTACACTCCACCAACAGCAGCTCTGGATTCTGGGGAAAGAAAGAGGGTGGTGACAAAGGGAAAAGGAGGGGAAGGGAGGGGGAGCAGGAGAGGGGATCAGAGTATCAGCAACAGACAGGTCTCTCATAGGGTGGAGTCAGTAAAATACTACTATTCTAAAACATCTTAGTCAAGATGAGGAGTAGGGCTCTTGGTACAACGTGATTCCCCAAATCATGAAAACTGATACAACAGGAACCAGGCTTGGAGCACTCTGTGATAATTACTAGGTCACTGGACAAATGAAAACCTTAAAACACAGGATTTCTCCAGGAGAGAACAATTCCCCTAAGACATGTTTCTCACTGTCTTCTCTCGTCCTTTCTCATTTCCTTTTCTTGGGAGGATGACACATTTCTTAAGATGTGTGTCTATGCCTCAATTCTTCTTTACTTAACTAGAAAATCAAATGAGGCTGCAGGAATGTTGACACAGGTGAAAGTTTGCTGAGCCCTGGGCGGAAGGAGGCAGAAGTCCTGAGCAGACTACAGACATGAAACACTTCTCTGACTTCTCAGCTGCCAGAGTCACTACTAGCAAAATCTGTGAGAAGCTGGAGCCATACCCATCATGTCATACACCACACACACACATCACATATATATACAACACATCCACTACATGTACATCATATGTACGACACACATACACAGATGATGTGTACACTGAACATACACAACACAAACATAATGTGTACACCACACATGCACACACCATGTACACACCACACATACATATAGCGTGCACACCATATATATACTGTACACATGATGTACACAACATACATTAAAAAAATCACATATACAATATGTACACTCACGATGTGGACACCATGCATATTCATACTCATGATGTTCACACTATGCATATACAAGACACACACAATGTACTACACACCATGTATATGCCGTATGTACACATTACACAATGTGCACAGCACACATACACACATACATGCTGTATACACCATACATATAGAACACACATGCAGAATACAAATACTAGATTAAAAACACATACAGAATCTACATCACACACTTCATTCACATCTACTGTACAATCACAGACATAGTGTACATCCCACAAAGATACCACATATAATATACACTGTATACATACTGCGCTCACATACTGTTTATATACCAAACAGACACATAGTGTAGACACATCACACACAAACCATACAATGCTAATTCAGTTGAGGCTGGACAAATAATCCTGTTCCTCATAAGCTTCAAAAGAATTCCCAGTGCAGCTTCTCATAGGAATAGAAAGTCCAAAGTAAATAGTTAAAAAGCAAACATAGCTGTGGTAAAAAAGGGAAGGTGATAATAGGACCGATGCATTAAGCACTTCCTGAATGAAGGTTCACTGTCCTTTCATCCCTGCCTCTTTCTTCCTTTCCAAGCTGTCTTCAAACTTTCTCATCATTATATCCCTGTCCTTTCTCCCTGGGACAAGCCAATTCACCACTAACCCTAGAGATGAAATCTTGTGCAGACAAATTAGACCAGTGTGTTAAACGTGGACACACGGTTGTGGCCTGAGAGCCGGTGCTCGTAGACACAGGTCTCAGTCTCTCAACCATGGACCTCTAGAGTTACATCCACCATGTGAGCAAACCCTCGCCCACTGGGCAGGAGGCCATCAACTAGATCAACATGCATGCACCACCCTGAGACCATCCTTACTTGTGACAACTACAGAAGGGATTAATGTAAAGTGACATGAGTGTGACGAGCCTCAGAACAGGACAATGGGAATCTCAGGCCCTTGAGTTTGGTGGTTCACCTTCTCAGTGACGTGGCCATCTCAGAGCATTTCATCTCTACCCATACTGAAGCAACTGCCATGTCTCTTTTGTTTTGTTTTTTTTCTTTTCCACTGTTCCCACTCCCTGTATATGTTATCCCAATTCTAGTACAATGATTACATTCCCTAACTCTAATCTGAAACTTTTATCTTTTTGTGGTCAATGCTTTAGCACTACTTACTGATTTGGATTCAAGATTATGAACAAACCACTTACTGGCTGATGGTGACATGACCAAAAAGCAAACTCAACACACTGCCATGGAGTCAGTTCTGACTTATGGTGACCTTCCACTGGGTTTCTATGGCTAGGAAGAATTTTTCTACCTTTCCACAGAGTAGCTGGTGTATTTGAACCTTTTGATTAACAGTCTGTGATGGTTAACATTGTATGCCCACATGACCATGATCTTTAGCATAAATATAATATGTGTTGTATGTGTATGTATCAGGAAAACAAAGAATCTCACCACTGGGCTGATTGGCAGCATCATGATAGATGGTGAAGAGACTGAGATTGTAAACAGATTTAGTTTGCTTGGTTCCACAATCAACACTCTTGGCACCAGCAGTGCCATAAAGTTAAAAGATGTGTTGCATTGAGAAAGTCTGCTGTCAGAGACCTCTCCAAAGTACTGAAGAACAATGATGTCAGTCTAGAGACTAAGATGTGCCTGATACATGCCGTGTTCTTTGCAATCACTTTCTATGCATCAGGGAGATGGACAATAACTAGGGATGGTAGAAGGAAAGTTGATGTCTTTGAACTGTGGTGCTGGAGACGAGCACTGAATATATTATGGACTGCTAAGAGAATAAACAGGTCCATCCTGGAGAGAGTGAAACCAGAATGCTCCTTGGAGGAGAGGATTTTGAAGCTTCATCTGACATAATTTGGACATGTTGCAATAAGTGACCAGTCCTGTCCATGCTTGGGAGGGTGGAGGGACAGTACAGGAGAGGAAGACTCTCAATAAGGTGGATTGATTCAATGACTGGGGTAATGGGGTAAGTGCATCAGAGACAGTAAGACTGGCACAGGATAGAGCAGGGTTAAAGGCTGTGGTACACAGGGTCACTATGTGTCACAGGCAACTTGATGGCACTTAACAACAAAAACAACAACAATACGTTGTATATACTAACCTTTTTGATATTAATGACACAGAATTATAAATGATCTGTAAAGATATGATCAGCCTTCTCTGATTTAATAAGCACTGGTCTCTTCAGGGTTCTCATCTAGATAATATATAATTTTTACCCTCTGGCTAAACACTAGAGAGTATTTTATCGCTGATCTACATCTGGAAATCTGATTTGTGGTCTCTAAACTTGGACCAGAGGCCTGTTTTATTTGTGAACTTTGGACTCATCAGTATCCAAAGTTTGCTGTCTGTGACTCTATTTCCTCCCAAAGACTTTGGATCTGCCAGCCTCTGAAGGTGGCGTTAAGTCTCCAAGGCTGGCTCTCTGCCGGAACCACATTGGACACATCAGCCTCTGAAGCTGGTGGCCTCCAAAGCCAGGAGCCTGTGGCACTGCCTGCTGACAACCTGGATTCTTCCTCTCCAGACATCTCCATCTTGAAGCCTGACCTAAGGCTTTGGGACTCGTCTCTATAAGCCTGTGATCCATTTCCTTGAAATCAACCAATGGTTCTCTCTGTTTATGCATGTGTGTACACAAACATACACAAACTTCATTGATTTGTCTTGTCTAGAGAATCCAGCCTAAGACATAGCCCAATTCACTAACGCCAGGACTTCTTTGATGAAATTACTCCTCCAAAATGATTCTGATCAGGTAGATATGAAAGTTGTTATTGTTGGCCAATGCACAGTCAGAACCAAACAGAGCTGAACCTCTGTGGGTTTTCAGAGACAGTTAATCACAAGGGAGGAGACTGCCCATCCTTCTCCTGGATATATGAAGGTGGAGGTGTAAAATTTTGGTGTTTAAGCACCAAAGAACCCTATAGGACACCACAATAAGGACAGGTTTGTTCAGATGACACCAGAAGTACTTTAAAGACTAGTCTAGAAAAAGAAAATAAACAAGACCTAAAATATTAATTTCAATCCAAAGAGCTATTTAAGTCTCCACCTAGGGCTTCTGCAAATCCAAACAGCCTTGTTTATATAGCTTTCAAAAACCCTGGTGGCAAAGTGTGTAATGTGTTGGGCTGAAAAGCTGATGGTTCAAATTCACCAGGCACTCCACAGGAAAAAAATAAGCAATCTCTGTTTGTAAAGATTTATATAGCCTCAGAAACCCAATGGAGGATTGCTAATACCAGAATCAACTCAAAAGCAGCGGGCTTGGTTCATATAGGCTTCTTATTGATTCAGCAGAAGGATTCTTATTTTCCATGCAGCAGAATGAAGTCTAAAGGAGATTTTGCTGCTTTAATCTTTCTAAAGAGAATTTAGACTAAGCACTTTTTTGCTGCATTAATCTTTCTAAAGCGTATTTAGACTAAGCACGTCTTGCAGAAGATCAAGAAATGCAGCCTTCAGTATAGATTGCGTCTCAATATCAAGAAAACAAAGATTCTCACCACTGGACCGATACGCAGTGTCATGATGGATGGACAACAGCTTCATCTTGCTTGGATCCATGATTATTACCCTTGGTATGAGCAGTCAGGAAATAAGGAGATACATCACACTGGAAAAATCTGCAGTTAGGGACCTTTCCAAATTATTGAGGAGTATTGATGTCGGTTTGAGGACTAAGGTGTGTCTGATTCAGGCCACAGTCTCTCTGTTCATAAGCTATGCATCTGAGACTTGGACAATGAATAAGGATACTAGAAAAAGAACTGACACCTTTGAGCCGTGGTGCTGGAGAAGAGCACTGAATATCCCATGGACGGCCAAGAGAACGAACAGGTATGTTTTCGAGATGGTGCAACTGGAGTGCTCTTTGGAGACAAGAATAATGAGGCTTTGCCTCACATATTTTGAGCATGTTGTTAGGAGGTGCTATTCCTTGGAGAAGAACATGATGTTGGGA